AGGAGGAGCTCCCGGTTGGGGCCTGGCCGGGGGGGAAAGCCCACCTCTCCGGGAGAATCTTGTGCGGGAGATGCTGGGGGCCAGCCTGGGGCCTATCTGCAAAATGCAAAGTGCAAACCGCCCCCCCCCCCCCCGCTTTCTTTTTCTTTTTGCAGAAGCCTCTCTTCCCACCGCTTTTCCCAGCATCCCCAAGAGTTTGCCTCTCCTTCCTAGGGATTGTGCATGGTTCCTCCTCCTGATCGGGATGGTGGCTCTTCTGCGTGGGGCCTCTTTCACGGGAGAGACTTCCCTCACACGCAAAGAGGCCGCAGGGGTTGCACGAAGCGGGGGAGGGTCTTGGGAGGGCATTGGTTTCAGGGGGAAGACTTTGTCGGGTGCACCCGCTTCCTGCTTTCCTTTGCAAGCCTCCCCGCGGGCGTGCTGGCAAAGCGGGCCTACGCATGCTCAGTTCCGTTGTCAAGTTCGGAGTCTGCCAGTACTCCGCTCCTTCCGGCGCCCGCCCCATCTTATTAGCGCAGGGAGGGGGACAATTTCCGGGGGACGCAGAGATTGAGCTCCTGTGGAGGGCAGCAGAGGGCTACCTGTGGGGCTTTAGGCAGAGCTGAAGCCTCCCTTCCAGGGGGCCCCTTGGAAGGATAGACTTGAAGGTGCCTGGCTCCAAACCCACAGTCCAGGCCCTTCCCGTTTCTTTCAAGGGACCCAAGTCCCAGAGCATGTTTAAGTGCACGTCTGCGTCTCCCAGGCTGTGTTGGAAGCGGCAGCTGGCTTGTTTTGGCCAAGCTGGGAAGCTAAGCAGGGATGGGAGACCACCAGGAAATCCCAGGATGGTAAGCGACCCACATAGAAGCCTGGAAGAGGGGAAAAAACATGAATCCTGAAGGAAAACAAGTTCCTGAGGGGGAAAAGTACTCAAATAGATACCATTCTAGAAAATTTTACCTCATAAAATGCAGAATGGGGGAAAAATTCAGGGTGGAATAGACTAAACCCAGTAAATAAAATGGAATCCTTTGATTAATATAGAGCAGTGTTTCTTAAAGTGTGGTCCTAGGACCCTTGGGGGCCCCCCAGGACTCTCTCAGGGGTCTGCGAAATCAAAATTATTTGCCAGCCTATGTTGAAAAATAATATTAAAATCCCATCAATCATGAGAAGGGGTAGTAGCAGCAGATGCCTCAATTTTAATTTTTTATACAATAAGTATCGATAAATATAACTCATACAAACAAAAGCTCTTTTGGGATCCTCCATAATTTTTAAAAATGGGAAGGTGTTCTGACAGAAAAAAAAGTTTAAGAAACTGATATAGAGCTATTTTAATAGATGAAGAGAAAGAAATACCCTTTTTATGAGGCTACAATTAACAACAAAGGGCCTCTGGAGAACATCTTGAAATCATAAAGGAACTGAACCAGCTAAAGGAAAAACAATTTAAAAATTGAGTTCTGAGGTTCATCTATGTTTGGAGATGCCAAGAAAGGGGAAAATGAAATAAAAGTTTACAGCTGGCACACACACACACACAAACCACAGTAGGGGAAAGCAAGCAACAAAGTAACTTTTGTAACTGAAGTAACTGAAATTACAGAAACCTTCCCTTTTTCATCTTAGGGAAGGTCGGAAGCTAAAGTAGGAAGCTAACGTCAGTCAAGTCCTTTAATTACTGTTCTCCTCTCAACATTGTGCTGAATCATTATCAGGTAACCTACCTAATTTTGTATCATCTGTAAATATGGTTTGCTTTCCTATCCCATTAACATTAGCATCCCAGGGCCAAAAACTCTTACCAAGTTTGACAAGGTTAGACTGAAGAGCAATCTAGGAATAAAGGGGATTTGCTTAATAATTATGCCCCCAGTCTGCAAAACTGAACATCTTCGGGTAGTTTATAAAATGCATTGCTGAAGTCAAAATCTACCACCTTGACACCGTTCTCCCAATCTTCTGACAGACCTTTTTTTTAATCCTTTTATTTTGAACTGAAACACCATTTTTGTTGTTCTTAGCATCCTCCATTGTGCTTTACTCTTCCTAGTCTCTTTTTACAAAGATACTTACCTCAGAATTACCATTCTATAATTCCTGCTTTTTCTACACTGTCTGCATGGAAGTAATTGCTCCTTTGTCTGTGTTCACTTAATACATATTGCTGTTAGGAAACATACACCCTCCCTATCCTCTGGCTCTGGAAACATATCCCAATGCAAACCAGCAAAGGGAGGGAGGGAGGCCCTAGAACATGTACGGTGGATTTCTTCTTTTTGGGAATGATGCTGTGCTACCGTGCAGTTGATTGTATTCAATTCTGAACACTGAAAACACAATTACATTTATAATACTAAGAATTTTATGATTGCTCCTTATTATGCAAGCAAAAACAAATACAAATGAGCAAATAATCAGCCAGATAATATAATGTAAATCATCATTAAAGTCAACAATTCTATTGATTCAAAACTGAATCCTGGCATCTGCATCCATGCAGTTTTCTTAGTAGCATTATGATTACATCAAGAAATGTTTTGTCTGTTTTTACTCTTTCCATTCAACTTCCCTGGATTATTCCTGCAGCCTAGTGTTTTATGAGAGGCCTGTCTGTGTTACAATGCATGATTTTATATAGCTTGTTCATATCTCCGCTCAGTTGCCTTTTTTCCAAGTCCAAATGTTCTAGTCTATTTTCATTATAAGAAAGGTTTTGAGTCTCCTGATTATTTTGATTGCCTTCTCCTGCAGTTTTTTCTAGCTCTATTATATCCTTGATAACATGTGGCAACCAAAATATATACATTCTAAACATGGATATACCATGTCTAGAAAACGTAGAATGGTTTAATAATGTTGGCTGTTTTATTTCCTAATGATCTTGTAATATGGAATTATTTTTCTCAGCTGCTGCACACCTATCAACCACTTCACTGAGCTCTCCACTACAACCCCAAGATCTTTCTCCTGGTGAATTACAAGCAGCTTAGATCTCATCAGTGTATGGGGGCTTTTTTTTGTCCCAATGGGTTGATAATTCCCCAAGTTGATCTCCTCACAATCATCTTTGGTGTTTGCTACCCTAAACAGTTTAGTATCATCTGCATATTGGGCCAGATTATTATTTACTAAGTCAAGATCTTTAAAGAAAAAACTAACAGCTACTGAACTTCTTCCAATGGCTTCTGAGTGTTAAATAGCTGATAAAACTAGTGTTGCTTTTAATGTGTCACTGACTTCAAGTCAGTCTTCAAGTCCAGATTGTTTTGTTGCCAACCTTTTTTGGAAGTGCTTTGTCACTGTCTCTTTCCTAGGGCTGAGAATGTGTGACTGGCCCAAAATCAGCTGGCTTCTGTGCCTATGAGAGGACCAGAACTCTCAGGCTTGCAGTTTCTACCTCAGTGCCTTTAACCACTACACCAAACTGACTCTAGAGTTTCTTACATATCCAGTTATAATTACAATATTTGAAACGAATATAAGAATATAAGAAAATCTCCCCCCAAAAAGGAAGAGTTGACAGAAATAAAAATTTGCAATGCAGACAAAAATCCCATATAATGACCCCAGTTTTTCATTTCCAGCTGAAACCAATCCTGAAGGTAGTATATTTCCCAACATGTGTGTGACAATATTTGTGAGACAAAAATAATATTAAGTGAAGTAATACACAAATTAATTGCCAGTAAAATAAAGAACCAAAGTAATTGATCCCCATATGCATATAACAATCATTCTCTCTACCATGCATAAATGTACAAGCACACACAATTCCATTCTCCCAGCAGAAACAACAAATGGAAAAAATGGAAGATGGAGGAATGAAAAACTGCTGGGAAGAAAAGAGAAGAAAAGGAGGAATGAAAACAACAGATGGGGCAAGAAACAAGGTAATTGGACAGGGAAGGGAAAAAAGAACGAGCCCTATTTAGACCTTATAGGAAGGAGTGTACAAGCACACACAATTCCATTCTCCCAGCAGAAACAACAAATGGAAAAAATGGAAGATGGAGGAATGAAAAACTGCTGGGAAGAAAAGAGAAGAAAAGGAGGAATGAAAACAACAGATGGGGCAAGAAACAAGGTAATTGGACAGGGAAGGGAAAAAAGAACGAGCCCTATTTAGACCTTATAGGAAGGAGTTTTAAATATTGTCAGACAAATATATCAACACAGATAAGCCAAACTCCTCTAAGTTCATCATAACCCAAAGTTAGGGTTATGATGAAGGGTTGGCTAATGCAGTGCTGGCTGGGGAATTTGGTATTTGAAGTCCACACATCTTAAAGTTGCTCAGAAACATTGGACTAATGTTATAAGCCATTCACAGAGCTATATCTGCTGTCAGCTGTACCTCCTACCAAATTCTGCAATACCCCATTAACTCAGTCCACAAGAAATTACTTGGGACCTTCACTCATTTTCTCATCTGGTAATTAGGGTACACAATAAAAAAAAGTTGGTGTTGTTGATGCATCCCATAGCATACAAAGACATTTGTTTTGTACAGTTGGTTAGGAAACACTCTGCATAAAGTATGGGCAAATGCTTGGTGTCTTCTTGTCTCTACTAATAAAATATACCTTCTCCAAGGACTTTCTGGTAATTTCCTTGATCCTCTCTATCAACATTCTTTCTTATCTTCACTTTTTCCTTCCCTCCTTCATACCAGACAATTTTTTTTCTATCCATCATCCAATCACATCACATTTGTGCCTGCCACTCATTACCTCAGAACTGGAGTCCCTGAAATTATTTCAGAATTCAATCATTTATGTGGCTTATCCCATGTATGGAATCTTCTATAGGAAGTAAGATAGCAGAAATAATTGAATCTGTTTCCATATAACGTACATTTCTAAGATTCATTCTGTGTAGATCAATTTATGAGAAGATCTTTCCACATTTTGAAGCTCTTTCCACACTCCATGCATTTATACAATTTCTCCCCAGTGTAAAACCTATTATCAAAGACAACATGACTGGTGTGGCCGAAGTTCTATCCACCATCCACACATTAACATGGTTTATATCTCATGTGTACCCTTTTATGGGAAGTAAGATTATCACTCTTGCGGAAGGTCTTTCCACACTCCATGCATTTATATGGTTTTTCACCTGTGTGAATTCTTTTATGGGAAGTAAGGCTACTACTCATACTGAAACTCTTTCCACACTCCATGCATTTATATGGTTTCTCCCCTGTATGGATTCTTTTATGAGTAGTGAGAGAACAGCTCTTCCGGAAGTCCTTTCCACACTCCATGCATTTGTATGGTTTCTCCCCTGTGTGGATCCTTTTATGGGATGTAAGGCAACTGCTCCATCTGAAGCTTTTTCCACATTCTGTGCATTTATATGGCTTTTCCCCTGAGTGGACCCTTTTATGTTCAGTAAGATTAGTAGTACTCCTAAAATTCTTCCCACATTCCATACATTTATATGGTTTCTCCCCTGAGTGGATCCTTTTATGGGAAGTAAAGGAACTCAGGTCACTGAAGCTCTTTCCACACTCAATGCATGTATATGGTTTCTCTCCTGAGTGCATCCTCTTATGTGAAGTAAGGTGACAGCTCCACCTGAACTTCCTTCCACAGTCAATACATTTATATGGTTTCTCCCCTGAGTGGATCCGTTTATGTGAAGTAAGATGACTGCTTAAAGTGAAGCTCTTTCCACATTCCATACATTGATATGGTTTCTCCCCCGAGTGGATCCTTTTATGGGAAATAAGGTGACTACTTATAGTGAAGCTCTTTCCACATTCCATACATTTATATGGCTTCTCCCCTGAGTGGATCCGCTTATGGGAAGTAAAGGAACTCAAGCCACTGAAGCACTTTCCACACTCCAGGCATTTATATGGTTTTTCCCCAGAATGCATCCTTTTATGGGAAGTAAAGGAACTGAAGCCACTGAAGCACTTGCCACACTCTGTGCATTTATATGGTTTTTCCCCAGAATGCATCCTTTTATGGGAAGTAAAGGAACTCAAGCCACTGAAGCTCTTTCCACACTCTGTGCATTTATATGGTTTCTCTCCTGAATGGATCCTCTTATGGTAAGTAAGACCACTGCTCCACCTGAACATCTTTCCACACTCCATACATTGATATAGTTTCTCACCTGTGTGGATTCTTTTATGGGCGTTAAGATTACTGCTCTTGCTGAAGCTTTTCCCGCACTCCATGCATGGATATGTTTTTTCTCCAATTTGGGTAGTTTGATGTAAGGTATGAGGGAGGGACCAATTGTAATTTTGTTCATGTTCCCCAAATTCATATTGTTTTGCTTTATTATGAGTTCTGCAGTATTCACATAAATCTGAATTTTCTCTGAATATTTTTCCACAGGTGAGACACTTTCTTTCTTCTTCATGTCCTTGCTGGGCAAGGAAGAAATGGATTTCTGCCCACTGAGAAGTACAGGATTCTTCCCTCCTCTTGTTTAACAGGTTATCTTCAGACTTTTCTGGTCCCTGTGGATTTTCAAACATCTCTTCTCCAATTTCATTTTTGATTGTTTGTGAATGTTCCACAGATGCCTGTTTATAATTTGCATTCTCTGGCCAACCAACCGCTTGGGAGAAAAAGAAAGAGAAAAATTTATTGCATCTTTAAGGCAGAAAGTGAGGGTGCCTTCAGGGATCAAGCCCAATTAGCTGCCTCTTTTATTTAAACATTACCAAGAGTTTTTCTCATTCCTATTCCTTCTGGACCACAAAGTAGGACTAATCGTTGGAGCATGTATTTTTAACTATACTTCCAGTCTTTCTTATCAGGCCCTGTCTAGGACATAGAACTGGGGAGTACCGACTGAACCAGGATGGTTCACATATCATGTCCCACAGGTTTCCATCTTGTTCTTCATGCTGTTCAGTGTCAACATGAAGCCACTATGTAAGGTAATCTGGAGTTTATTAGTGTGATATCATCAGTAGTGGGAAAGGTAAACTGGAGTTAACTAATAGGGTAACATCCAGTTCCAAGGAAGCAATTGGTTAGATTAAATAATAAGCAAGAAAAAGTTGAAGTTAAAGCAAGAGAAGGCTGTGCTGTTGGAAGACAAGAAACTAAAAACTGAACATGAGAACAGAGGTCCAAACTGCTTAAATGAGGTTCCATTCCCTTGAAAAAGCAGGTCTATAGTCCTGGAATGTTATTTGACCTCAGGTCTCATGAAATCTGCAGGCAGCAGGTGTAACAAGGAGACTTTGAGGCAAATGGAAGCGGGTGGCCACACCTCCTGAAAACCAAGCGAAGTGGTCAATAGGGTCCAATTAGTAGTAATTCTCTGTCTGTGATAAACACTGTGAGTCTATTAGGGCTTCCAAATATCACTGAATGGGAGCATGCACTGTCCTCTCTCTAAGGAGAGCAAGATGATTTTAGCCCTGGCTACCACAGTGAATGGAAAGAACAATTTCTTCCCTCTAAAAAATGAACATATCAACATTTCCTCTAATAAACAAACTGGTTATTTTTTACTAGAAAATACCTTCCCCACTGAACTGAAGCAAGAGCAAACATGAACCTTTACCTATGGAGGCCACATTCCTAGCATTTTCCATCATCACTTCATTGTACAGAATTTTTTGGTTGAAATCCAGCAGATTCCACTCCTCCACGGAAAAGAACACAGCTACATCATCAAAGGTCGGGGAATTCTGAAACAGGAAGAAAACATTCCCAGTTAATGAATAGTTCCAGGAAGTATTTTCAAGGTCTCTTTTAATTGATTAATCCTAAAATTTATTGTAGGGTAAATCTGCATTTTTCCTGGAGAGACTTCCTGTGAGAAAATAGGCAGAGCTCAAACTCCCTGAGTAAGAATCTGATGGGACAAACCTTGGATGTACTATCCATTGCAGCTGAAAAAGTGTCGTGAGACTCCTATTTGATATTTTAACCAATAGTTTATGTTGCCCCTCAGGGGCCAACGTATTCCTCATACAGTACTTATATGATATTGATGGAAGAGATCCTCCAGAAGACAGCATGAGATGCCATCAATTCACAGATAATATACAACTCTAAGCAAGTTTGTTTGTTTATTGAATTTATAGATGCTGCCCATCTCACTATACAAGTGACATGTGGCATTACACATAAAAAACTATAGAAGGCCAACAGAGTGGGGGCCAATCTCACCTCAGAGGGCAAGATATTCCAGAAGGTGGAAGCCACAGCAGAAAAGGCTCTCCTCCTGGACCCCACCAGTCGAAACTCTAGACAACAGGGTCCATAGGGATTTCTCCATGGTCAGACAAATTGGCTAGATTGGCACTAATAAAGTGAAGGGAATTTGCTCTGGAAAAGAGATTTAGGCCATTTTGGACAGCATAGGATGCTCTTCAAATAAATCACAAACTTTGGAGAAGGAGAGGAATCTTCCACTTTACCTGAGTTGGAAGCACAACCGCTGTTTCTGGCACACCACAAAAAAGAGATGTTCCCACAGGTGTCATCAATGTTGTTTTATTCTTTGAGACTGAGATAAAAAAGTGGGAAGTACATGTTCAAAGAGCATCACTGAGAGAAACTAGGCACAAAGGCCATTCTTTCACAAGAGCTATGGTACTTTTGCAAAAGAAAGGAAGTACTAACTCCTGAGGACCCCACTGCATCAGAAGGAACCCTCTATTACCTGATAAGTTCTGAGTTGGATCCTCTTGGGAGGTCTCCCCAAAGGTCAGCTCCTGAGAGGGATAAGACTGATTCCCCCATGCTTCAGAGTGTTCAGTGGCCACCATGAAAGGCTCCTGAACCTGAAACAGCACCCAAGAGAAAAGTAGAAAAAGCATGTTATTATTCTCAGCGCCATAACCCTCTCTGGAAGGACTGAGCTTCTCACACATGTCCTGGGAAGTTATTAAGAAGAGCAATAGAATAATTTGGCAAAACAAGAAATAAAATCTCCTCCTGATGTTTTTAGCCCATGAAAGAAGGCATATTCAGTAACACTGTTTGTAATTATGTTACCCACTGAATTACCATGATTAAAATTTCTCACCTGCTGTTGTCCCTGTTCTTTGTCATTTGCCCTGCTCAGGAGGAAGCCTTCTGCAAGGGCTACAGCTTGAGAACAAGTCTCTGCTCCACACTCCCGGACCCAGCTCTCCATCTCTGGGGGCAGGATGGCCAGGAACTGCTCCAGGACTACCAGGTCCAGCATCTGAGCTTTTGTGTTTTTTTCTGGTCTCAGCCATTCACGATGAATTTGATGGAGTTGGCTGCAAAGTTCTCGGGGTCCCTTAGACTCCTGGTAGCAGAATTCCTTGAAGGAGGGACTTTGTACAGTCCAACTGGTGATATTTTTTTCCTGGCCGTCCTGACCGTTTTTTCCCATGCATTTCCCAGCTGTCCCAATCAGGGCAACACTGGGGCCTCTTCCTTCTCCTTCCGTGTTGGATGATGCCGCTTTTTCTCTGTGGAGAGATGCTGTTTCAAAAAAATCCAAAGGTTCCTCTAGATCTCCAAAGCAGTGTTTGTTTTTGGGATCAGAATGGCAAGAACAGCTCCCTTTAGACATCTTGGGGATGTGGAATCCTGGTCCCTGGATATCCAGAATCTGCACACGCAACAGAAGATGCTTTTAGCACACAACCTAGGAGAGGGGGGGGGGGGAAACCACTTTAGAGGAATCTGAAATTTCTCCAAGGCATCAAGACAACATTCTTGTTCAAGTCTTTGCCATCTGGAATCTCTTTATAAAACCCACCCAGACTTAGATGAAACCTGCAGATGGGGCCCAGCTTCCCCACAATGGAAACTTTCTTCTGCATGGAGGAATTGTTCCTCTGTAGAGTCTTTCTTTGTCTCGGCCTCCCTAAAAGCTTTGAGCAGAACAACTAATCATCTCAAGGAACCATGGTCCTCTGAGCTAGAGATGTCTCAGGATGCCACAGGCATAGGCAGCCCTTCGCCTTGAGTTTGGAGCCAAGATGGAACCGAGTCTAAGCCTTCAACTTGGGATAGGCTTTCCCGCAGAGTTCCAAGGATGCAAGCCAGCTGTGCACCCCCTAGAAACGGGTCCTCTGACTAGGAAGAACAGAAGATTCAAGCTTCGGGAGTTTTTTGCCTGCAGGACAGGTTCTCCAGCACTGAGCAGGACCCCACCCATGGCTGGGAAAAGGGGCCATGGGACGGAGAGGCCCCAGGGTGGCTCAGAGGCCAAAGAGAGCCAGCCTGATGCTTCCTCCCAGGAAGCTCACTGAGGAAGAACTTTTCAAGAGTCCTAAGTCATCTTTGCTGCTGCTGCTGGGAATTTCAGGAAAAGAACAAAGCTGCCCTGAACCAGGAGGGGCTCTGCCTTGGCCTCCCCCTGCCCCCGCTTCCTTTCTGAGCCTCCTCACCCACTGGCTATAGGGAATAGAAGAATCTCCCCGTCCTTTCGCCGGTGCAAGGCTGCCCGCAATGGCTTCAACCCTTTAAGGAAACTCCCCAGCCAAGAAAGATCCGAAAAAGGAAATGTTTTTCTTGCCTGGAGTGGGGAAGAGCCAGAGCTGGGAATGGGCCGGGAAAAATCCGAGTCTAAGTTTCAGGCTTCCCACCCCGCCCAGCAGGGCTCAGAATCTCGGGAAAAGGTCTGCAGGAGAGTTTGGGCTCCAGCTTCCTTGCAACCTCCGCGAGCGCGACTCCTGCTTGCTAGTGGCACAGCTGCAGCCTGGTGGGTAGGTCTCTCTTCCCGCAAGGACTTTCAGCAGCCTCTTTTCTCCCCGCTGACTAGGGTTAAAGGCAGAGAGCGCCTCTTCCTAGAAAGCTCACACCCGGGTGGGGGACGGTCACTTCCTGCCCTCCCCTTCAAGGTCGTGGCCAGATGCCTTCCCAGAGCAAAATTCTTTGTTCGGCTTCGGCTTAACTGGAAAACGAGGATGTTGTCGTCGGACACAAAGGTTTGCAGGATTGCGCCATCTAGCGAAGCCCGCCTGCAAAGCCTACAGAAATTGGGTGGGCGGAAGAGTGGGATGGCTGCCCAGGGATGCTTGGTGGAAGGCCAGAATTTGAGATTAGGGCTTGTGTAGCTCCGTTTGGGGCTTTTCCCAAAATGTCCGTATCCTCACCTCAATATCCTCTTGGGACATCTCTTAGAAAACCAGGTGTGGTGATGCCATGAAAATTGGATGATGCTCTTTTACAGAGAAAACCCATCAGAACCAAAAATGGAGACCTTTTCCCCAAGAGTTTCCTGAAATCGTCATTTTCCCATAATGGCCAGTTATCTGCAGTTGAAAGCGCTACTTAAAACTATTATCCTGTCTTCACTACTGGGGATACTTGAAAAGCCCATCAGGATGGAGAATTGTTTGGATTCTTAATTTTCTCCATTTGTCCCACCTTTGACCTGTCCAACCTACTCTAGACTTGGAAATAAAGCAAGTCCAGTTCTGGGCATTTCTTCATTTTTTTTGTCCCTTGACATCAACAGAAGAATCAACAAACTTTCTGATGATATCCTTGTTAATAAAAAGGTACAAACTGCCCTAGTGAACATACCTTGGATTCATGTTTCAGCAAATAACTCCAGACCAGAAAAGTTATACTGAGTGAAGAGCCAGAGAGCCTTGTGCTGTTCAGTGTTTCAATGGGGTGGGGGATGGTTGTGGTTTTGGAACTGGTAGTAAATGGGAGTGTGCGGTGAGGTTGGAATGTTCCACATTCTTGTTAATGATGTGGATTAAGGGGTTGAGAGCATGATGATAACATTCACCTGTGTCAAAACTCAGGAGTACTAACTGTTTAGAAGGTTGAGAAAGGTCTAGACAGGTTTGAATGGTGGACCAAAGTGAACAGGGTAAGGTTGAACAGGGAGAAATGTAATCTCTTGCACCTGGGGAGGAAACAATGAAAGGTTCAAGTATGGGATAGGGAGTCCCTAGCTTTGCCATTGTACTTTTGAAAGAGAGTGTTTTATGTGAGTGAATCCTTTTATGGGAAATAAGTAGACCATTCTGAGTAAAACCTTTTCCACACTGCACGCACATATTTTTCCCCAGTGTGGATCCTTTTATGGGAAGTAAGTAGACCATTTTGAGTAAAGCTCTTTCCACACTCCATGCATTGACATGGTTTCTCCCCTGCATGGAGTGTCAGAATCCTCGCAAGATTTAATTGTAGTGTTAGGCACTAGCGTTTGTTTATTCGTTTACCCAAGTTTAGAGAACCAAATTAACT